TAAAAATTAATATTGTGAGGCGGCGTAGTGGAATCAGGCTCTCGTCAAAATAATCAAAGTGAAGAAAAGAAACTTGCATTTTTCCGCAGGTTTGTGAATTGTTATCAAATTTTGGTTGTTGTTGTTTTTGTTTTTTTTTGGCTCAACACCTTTCATGCCCATTAAAGAACTCATTTATGTGCGGATTTTTCTCTAAAACGTTGATAAAAGGCACACAAAAAAGTAAATTTTCAGTTACCACGGACTCTTAAGCTAAGGAAATAACTAGTCTTTGGTGGCCGTTTTGTCAATTATTTTACCTCTGAAAACAGGTGACCCCCACCTCCTTCTTTTGCAAATATCTCGACTTGTATTCAAGAAAAATGGATATTTTTGTCATCCAAATAAAGACAAGTCAACAAAGTGTAAGATGATACCAATAACTCTACATGCCCAAAAATTGACGACAGCCTGATTCCACCACGCTGCCTCACATATTTGATTAATGAATAAGCCTCTGAGGCTCGTGACCATCACAACCTCTGACCCCATATCTGTATCTGTCGTCCCATTCTCACACACCTACAACAGAGATAACAGCTGAGAACAGCTAGCTCTTTAAAGAAAAAAAAAGAAAAAGAACGAAAGAGATAAAGAGAGGAGGAGAGGGGGGAGGGAGAGGGAGATGGAGAGGGAGACAGAGACAGAGAGAGGGAGATTGAGGGGGAGATGGAGAGGGTGAGGAAGAATGAGAGAGAGAGGAGGGGGTGGAGATGGAGAGGGAGAATTAGTGAGAGGGGGGGTGGAGTGGGAGATGGAGAGGGTGAACGAGAGAGAGGGGGGAGAGAGAGGAGGGAGGGAAAGGGAGATGGGGAGGGAGAGAAAGAGAGAGAGGGGGGAGGGGGAGGGAGATGGAGAGGGAGATATATATTTAGAGAGAGAGACAGATAGACAGACAGGCAGAAAGACAGACAGACAGAAGGAGAGAGAGAGAGAGGGGGGGGAGAGAGAAAGAGAGAGAGAAAGATAGAGAAAGAGAGAGAGAGAGAGAGAGAGAGAGAGAGAGAGAGAGAGAGAGAGAGAGAGAGAGAGAGAGAGAGAGAATTAAGAGCGCCGTTTGTTTTAGATTTATACGACAGCAATGAAGACGAATTGTGTACGAATAGCTTGGTCAGGAGAGAGAGAGGGGGGGGGGAGACAGAGAGAGGGGAGGGAGAGAGAGAGAGAGAGAGAGAGAGAGAGAGAGAGAGAGAGAGAGAGAGAGAGAGAGAGAGAGGGGGGGGGGCAGGGGAGGATAGCACAGAGAAAGGTAAACGACATTTTATGTCTGTATTTTACTTCGACGTTCTTTGTTTGTTCTCAGATTTGGGGAGTTAAGAATAATAACTTTGATAACGATAATGAAAACCAAGCCTAGCAATAAAAAGAAAGATCATGGCAACGGTGAAACAAATTTGAAAAGAACCCCCCCCCTCCAAAAAAAAAATCGTCGATGCCTTTCACCCCTGGCAGGGTATAGGCCACATACAAGCTCCTTCCATTTATATCTATGTCCTGGGCCATCCTTCCCAGTTCGTTCCAAGTGAGCTTTATCTCTCTCGTGTCCATTAATTCCACACATCTCCTCCATGTTTCCCGTGGCCTACCCCTGCCTCGTGCTCCATGTGGGTTTCACTGCAGCGACTGTCTTGT